AGGAAATGGAGGGACAGAACTTTTGCAAATGGGAAGGGAACTGAGAGATGAAGGGAGGGGAGAGGGAGAAGGGAAGGGGATGAGAACAGACTTATTATGTGTTACAACAGGTACCAACTCGCCACAAAGAACGTAATCACTAGGTACTGCAAACATGGACTCACAGAAATAAAATGGTATCAATGAATGAGTTTGGTCCCTGGCCTTCTGCGCAAGCAGAAGGCTGAGGAGGAGGACCTTACGCGTTTTGATCCTGTGCTTGCTTTGGGTAACACAGCCTTTTCAGGGGTGTTTCCTCCTTTGCCCTTGTTTTTGTGAATGGCTTCCTGACTTGCTAACATCAGAAGGCAGGCCAGTGGCATGTGTCCTCTTTGAGCCTTAGTTAACACATGCAGAGGGGCTGGGCTAGTCCTTGGTCCACATCAACAAACTACCCCGTCTGCTCCCCCTCTACCTGGGGGACTGGAAGAAACACCCCGCCTCCAGGTGGCAGACACCTTGCCTCTGCCTCAGTCCCTGTGCTCCGTGGCAGGTGCAGCTCTTGCCTGATGTGTCCCAGCTCCTGCCTGCACCATTTTATCCATGTTGAGACTAAGGATTGGGGTCAAAGGATAAAAAAAGGTTTAGCATGTGTTTCAGAACCAGCATTCACTCCATTGAGAACCCCACGAATCAACTAATCTTGCCAGACATCCTTGACTTTTTGCCAGAAACTCACCTCCCACCCTCCACTGAATGCACGGGCTATGGTAACAGCTTCCTGGAGAGAGGAGGTTACAAATTCCTTTAATACTGGGTCATAGAGGAAGCCAGCAAACTGCAGATTCTTCTCAGCCAGGAGGAGCTTATTTACGCCAAGAAGCAGAATCAGCTGATTTTATGACTGCAAACCTGCAGAAACTCAGCTTCTTTGGGAAGCAAGGATTCCTATCACCACGTACTGACCTTGTTGGTTGTTAGGAGCCCAGCACTGGAAATCTGGTGCTCAAATCAGAAGCCCTGCCTGCCACTGACTGGCTATGAGCTCCCTGAGCCTTGGGCTTCTCAATTGTAAATAATAATGATAACGGTAAGAAAAATGTAGTAAATTCCGAGGGGTATTATAGGACTGGAGAGTCACTGTGAGTGTCCACAGGCCTCAGCATGGTCCCCAGTGCTCATACACAGCTGAACTGGATTCTTGCACTGACACAGGAAGCTGCCGCTGTCATTGTCCCCATGTTTCAAAAGAAGAATCTGAGGCTAAGAGATGTTTAGTGGCTTGTCCAAGAATAGGCGGTAACCCAGACAAAAGCTCAAGCCAAGTGTGTCTGATTCTGTCTAAGCCTTTGCACTTCCTGCTATACCGCGCCACTTCCTGGAACATGAACATATGCACGCGTGCACCCCACAACACTACATCACATCAGAATGACAAAGACATGCTTGTGACCAGAACACAAAATGGTGAACTGTGATCTTGCTACCCAGGGATCCCGAATATCTCTTAGTCAACCTGTTTCCCACTAGGGTACCAGGACTCCGCTTTTGTGCCTTCCCTGCAAGTAGCAGCACATGGTTGTGAACACACAACAGGCACTGGATGAATGCTCGCCAGAATTTCATGGGAGCTCATGGGAGAAAGTGGAGCTGTGTGCTGCTTGAGAATATGAGACCAGTCAACCCAAACACACCATGGATGCCCCACAGCTCCAAAGCCCGGCCTCACAGAAAGTATGTTTTTGGAGACTATGAAGGTTCTGACCTCAGGTTGAACATCTCTAATCTTATGAAATGGTGTGAGTGAATGCATGCCAGGCCTTAAGTGGGACTGCGGGAGGGCCCCCCATGTTGCTGCTACAAAACCTGCACAGTAGAAACTTTACAGTGGGCTGCTCTCGTGTTTGGTTTGCTCTCTCTGAGTCTTAGGAAGGCTTCTGTGTTGGTGCTGCCATTTTGGCAAGGAGCTGTAGATAGTAAGGACAATCCCAAGCCCACCGGCTATCTGAGGATGGAGGAGAGAGGGGTAATGGTCTTTCTACACTGGCACTGACCAAGGGGTGGTGTTCAGATGTCTTAGGTGGGGGAAGTGCTACACTTTGGGCGTGGTTCCCCCCAAGTGTTCATGTGTTGGATGCTTGGTTCTCCACGTAGTGATGTAAAGGGGTGGGCTTTAAGAAGTGGAGTCGGTGGAAAGTGGCAGGCAGGCCCCTTCCCTCTCTGGCTTCCTGGCCTGTGTTGTGATTTCTCTCATAGGCGTTCCCCCTCTGATGCCATCTGCCATGAGATCCACCCCAGCGCCTAGCCACTGTTGGCCTCATGCCCTGGAACCTCTAGAACTGGGAGCCAAATAAATCTCTCTTCTTTATAAGTACCCACCCGTGGGTGTTTCGTTTTATCAGCAGGCAACTTACTAATGTGGGGGAATATGCTCATGGCCCAAAGAAAATGGGGTTGAGAGTGACTGAAAAGAAACCCCAGTAGTCTGCTTTTCATTGCTGTGACAAATACCTGACATAAATCAATTTAAAAGGAGGAAAGGCTTATTTTGGCTCGCAGTTACACAGGTTTCAGCCCATGGTCACTTGGCACTGTTGCTTTGGGCCTGTGGCAGCCCAGGACATCATGGCAGGGGTGCATGAGAGGAGGCCTGCTCACCACAGGATGGCTGGGAAGAAAGAGAGGGATGAGATACAGGGTCAAGAGGCACTCCCAGAGACCTCACTTCCCATTAGCAGGCCTCCATGAAAGCTTCCACCATCTCCCAACAGATGGGTCTTGGGGACCCCCAGATCCAAACTGTACACTGGATATAATCTGGTTTATCTCTAGAGCTTTTGGCCAAGGTGTTTTTGGCACACACACGTATCTGGCAAATGCTGAGTGTGTGAGTGCCTAATCATGAATGTTCTCTCTTCCTGATAGGCAGTGCAGTGGAGAGGTTGGGGCCATGGAGGCTTAGCGGGGAAGCATTAAAGGGGATGATGGCAAGAACCAAACTCCCTTTGACTCCAAAGTTACATCAAAATGCAGGTCTTAGTCTGGGTCTGCCAGAGAGACCTGAATTTGTTCTATTTCCATTTTCTTTTCTTTTCTTTTCTTTTTTTTGTCTTTTTGAGACGGCTTTCACAATACAGTTGAGGCTGGGCTTGAACTCACTGTCTAGCCCAGGCTGGCCTCGAATTTGCAGTAGTCCTCCTGCCTCAGCCTCCGAGTACTGGAATTAGAGGCATGTACCACCATATCTGGCTTGAATTTTTCTTGTATGGAGCAAATCTCTTACAGTTTGAGAGGTAAGAGCAGAGTCTTTTTTTGTATTTTGTTTGTTTTTTTTTGATACAGGGTCTCACTGTGTAGTTCAGGCTGGCCTTGAACTCACGGCAGTCCTCCTGTCTAGGTGTCCTGAATGTTGGGATTATGGGTATGTGCCAGTAGGTCCAGTGATAGCAGAACATTAAGGAAATCCCTAGTTAACTTCCCCTCTGTGCCTCACAAGACTTTTCTGGTCTCTGACAAATTTCTCCCCCTCACTGAGCCTTATTGTCCTCATCTGTAAAAGGAGACCAACTCTGACATTCACCTCCAAGGGGAGAAGACAGGAGGCCGTGCACGTGGGGGAGCATGGCTCAGTGTGGGGTGTGCGTTAGGGCACGCGAGATGCGGTCAGTGAACGCTGGCCAGCGCTACTCCGCTAAGAGCAGCCTGCAAATATGCTATGGTAAAGCATTATTTTCCCTCGTCGTATAATCACATGTTGTGGTTAACACTTAAAAAGGAGCTGCTTGGCATATTTTGTGGCTGATTCCCGACCAAGCCCTGCAGAAGGTAGGACAGACATGACTGTCCTCACAGTGCAGTGAGCAGGCAGAGGCTCAGACACAGGAAGCATTCTAAATTCACTCCCTCAGGACTCTTCAGTAGCTTCCTGGAGGGAACCAAGGGAGAAGCACCTCAGGTAGAGGTGTGGGAAGCCAGGTGTGCTGGAGAGAGGGCGAAGGAGTCCGTGTCTCCAGGCCGGTCTGCTGTGGTCTGTTCACTGACTTGTTGGGGCCTAAATTGGTCAGGCACCTTTGCAGGCTGTGACCTGCAGTTTGCAGGGTATTGCAGCAGGGAGCCAGGGTTCCAAGCAACACGGGTGTCTGGTGGTGTGGAATAAGCTGGGCATCCCTCGCCTTCTTTGTTTGAATTTTTATTGTGGGGATTTCAAGCATATAGAAAAGATCAGGTGAGAATAAAGTCAGATAAAAATAGAAGTAAGTTCCCAGGCCTAGTCCTTCTCCCACACCAACCTGACTCCGTCCACACCACTGGCCAGTGCCTCCACTTCTAGATTGTTTTTTAAGGAAATATTGAGGGAATTTAAAACAACCCAGGCTCCCTGATTTGTTGCAGATTTAGATCTAGGAAGGGAGGCGACCTGTGTCCACCAGGTCTAGGATGAGAGGGGCCTCCAGCTCTGGGCTGGCCTGTTGCCCTGGATCCTGCTGATGTGTAGCAGCTGCCCGATCTCTTCATTCTCCTGTGCCCTCTGCATGGGCAGAAGGCCTCTTACTCAGTTTCCCCGGAGCTGAGCACGGGAACCGCCTACTTGGGTCGTTGGCAGTTGTGACATTCAGCATTCTTGACCTTCAAATTGTCAACATCATGACTCTTCCTTATCCCTTGTATGTTCAATAAATGTCCAGTGAGGGAATAGAAATGGACAGGGTTCTAAGACTACCACCATGGCAACTACCTAGCTTGCATCTCCAGTTCACCCAACCATGGTGCAAAGGCTGACACCCCAATCCATGGGGCCGGAGGCGTAGGAAGTGCTCAGCACTGGGCTGGGTGGTCTGCACGTGCTCAGGAAGGGCCGTAACAGTGATAATCTGATTTTGTGCAAAGTGAGGAGCTGAGTCCCAGAGCAGGGTATGAACACGCAGCCCAGCAGTGGTGTAAACAGAACCGGCGCTCATGAGATCTGGCAGCCAGACAGACCCTGAGGGCGCTGTGGAGTGGGGAGTGCCACTCCTGCTTACCTCTTGGCTCTGTCTTTCTCATCTTCATCCATTAGATTTTCTAGGCAGTTTTTCCTGCAAAACAAAACCAAAAAACACGGATGATTATGGTCTGTGTCTGGGTCTTTCTCACAGCTCTCTGGTCGCCATCATTTTGTCTTCGTTGACATCCCTTAGCCCCACAGCTCTCCAACTTTCTGGTCCTGACACCCCTTTGCACCCTCAGTGTGTACCTCAGAGTGTACCAAGCGCCCCTGGGTGCGTGGGTCCATGTTGGGAAATGTTCCGTAGATACACAAGCACTCTACCCTTAGGTGCCACAGCGGTGATGTCATCAGATGTCAAGTGGCTTCTGGAAAAGTCCAGTGTGCACTCATGAGAGGAGGGATTTTTGTTGTGGTTGCCTTTTTTTTTTTTTTTTTTAAAGCAAACAGTTCTTAGGAAGAAATGTTTTGCTGTCATGGAGTTTGAGATCCCTTGGAACACACTCTGAGAAGCACTGTGGAGACTTGGCACACTGGAGCAGCCTCCAGAAGTCTCACGCCTGAGGCCAGCAGGTTCCTCCTGGTGGATGCCTGTGACCTGCTGGTGACACTGCACAAGGCCATTCATTCCCCCTGGCAGGACACCAGTCACTATGACATCCTAAAGGATAGAGTGTAGGTGATGATCTTCCTATTCAGATACACAAAGGCTGTGCCCTGTGGCAGGAGGAATTACCCCAGAGGACTGTGATCCACACACTTCACCTGGACACACGCTCGGACCGGCGCTCACAGATGGGAGATTAAGTGATAACTCAGAGATGTTCTTGCTGCCCGTGTCCTCAGGGCCTCTCTCTGCCCAGAGCCTCTGCCATCTGAGCTGCAGCTCCAGGACCCTTTGGCTCAATAACTCAGTTTCGCCTCTTTCCCATGCAACCGGGATTGGGTCCCCCACAGAGCATGCTTGATTCCTGCTTTCATTCCCATGATTCCCAGAGCCCCACCTGTCCCCAGCACATGAAGCAGAAGCATTCCCAGATGTCACGAGGCCAGGGCTTTGCGGTACTGCAGGCAAAAGGTGGCAGTGACTGAGATGCATGGGGTAGGACAGCAGAGAAGCTTATATCACCCTGGCTTCATTTTCAACACAGAGCATTTGAGGTCCTATCTTCCAACCCATGCATTCAAATGGACTGGTAATTGTGCTAGAAATTTAAAGTTGCAGATAATTTTGTGTGTGTGTGTGCACGCGCATGCGTGTGTGTGTGTGTGTGTGTGTGTGTGTGGTGCTGAGGATGGAACAAAGGCCTTATGCATGCTAGGCAAGTGCTCTCCATAGAGCTACTGCCCAGCTTTAGGTAAAAATGTAAGGGAGGTTGCTCTGAGATAATGCAGTCTGTGATTCTCATCACCCACATGCACAGGATAGGAGGCGTCGCCTCTGTTCACGTACAGACCCCACTCAGCATATGGCAGCGTACTGGGGACAGACTCACAAGACATGCTCAGTAGCTGTGTCACATTTAAAATGGGGTTAACATCTGGAAACAGGCAAGTGCTTAACGTCTTCCAGATGCAGTCTGCTCCAACGTTATGACATGGAAAACAAGGTGTCCATTCATTCATGATGCTCCACCCACAGGGAAGTGGTGGTTGCCCAAGCACCCCAGGCAGGGGTGAGGCTCCCCTATGAGCCCTGTCACGGGCAGCCCTGGACAGAGCGAGTTCACAGAGGGCTGGCCGGCCCAAGGTGCTGGGATCCTGTTTGGGTGACGGAGTTGCTTAGTCATAGGCTAAACACTGAACAGTGACTAGGAGCTATTCTTGATCAATCCAGTCTTCTGAGAGTTATATCTGCTCATCGTTGGACATTGCCTGAATGCTTGAATCCTGGGTGGGCTATGCCCACCTCCTTTCTTCCCAGTCCCTCCCAGGTGCCTGCCCCATAGATCTGGGTCTTTCTCACAGCTCTCTGGTCGCCATCATTTTGTCCTAGTTGACATCCCTTAGCCCCACAGCTCTTCGGGCCACTCGAGCCCTGACTGAGCCATTTGGCTGAGCTGTACCCACGTGAAGAGGGGGTGTCTCAGCTCCCAGTGGCACCTGCCACAGATGCACCACACAGCATCTTGTTTTGTCACCACCATGTCTTTCCCATGTATTTTTATTTTACTTAAATATTACAGTGAAATATACACAGTGAAACTCAACACGTTAGCCCGCTGGCAGGCGCCAACCAGAGGCTAGTAGGCACAGCTGTGCAACCTTCCCTGCCATGCGGCCACAGGACTCTCCCTGTCTTGCAAAACTGAAACTCTCCATCCACGAATTGGTAGCTCTCCATTCCCCACTCACTCCGGCCCCTGGCAACCATCATGTCCCTCTGTCACTGCGGATCTGCCTCGAGATACCTCATGCGAGTGGCATCATACAGCATTTGTCCCACTGTGGCCGGCTTGTTTCACTCAGTCCAACGTCCCCAGTGTTCATCCAGCTCTCCATGTGTCAGAATGTCCTTCCTTTTGAAGGCTAAATGATACTCCACCATATGCACAGACCACATTTTATTCACTTGTCTCTTGAAGGACATCTGAGATGCTTCCATTTCTTGGCATTGTGAACACATGGGCACAGCCCCCATACATTTATTGTGAGTTGCCCCCTGGAGGGGCTGGAGAGGACCAAAGGCGAATAAGGACCCAAAGGAGGAAAAGAAGACCTAGGAGGTAAGGTTAGAGGGATAGCAGAGAAGTTTAGGAATATTAAGAAGTTTATAGGCTCAGGCCAAAGAAGGATAGTGTTTAATAACTCAAGTATATAAGAGTTTCCAGGAGGAACATTTTTGAGTAGCTATTTTTGGCCACAGAATGCCAGACGAGGGAGAATGAGCTTACACGAAGGAGATGAGGCTCTGTGTGGAGCAGAGATGTGACCTGCTGATGTGGTTAACCCCAGAGTGAACCACAGGGAACCAGGCCACTGTACCCTCCCCGGGTCCCGCTTTCACAAGGCTCACAAGTCAGGGACCCAACAGGGAACAGAGGGCACCGTGAGCATACCGGCAGGAGGACTGGGTACAAAGGGCTGATGGCAAAGGGCTGGGCAGGGACGAGGCGACCAAAGGGTGCTGCTGTCATCCAGGGCTGGTAACAGCAGTGCTAAGAATGAGAGAGAGGTGGTTTCCTAAACCTGAAAGTGTGTCAGAGATGGGAGGACGCTTTTGGTTGTGGGACACAGCCAGGAGGGGATACATGGGAGTAAGTACTCTCCTCTTTTTCTCTCCCTCCCTATAAGGAAATGCAAAGGCTGCAGCGAGTTCCCAACACTCACACTCACGGCTCTTACCAGTATCTTCCACTCCGATGGCACATGGGCCGAGTGAGCACGAACTACTTACGCTGACACACGGCTACTGAGCAGAATCCATACTTTCTTGAGATTTTCTTAGTTTTTACTTCATGTCTTAGTCCTCTCATTGCTTGGACAGAATACCTGACACCCACAATTTAAGGAAGGAGGTGTTTATTTGGGCTCAGAAGTTTCAGTCCTCATTGGCTGGCTCCAAGGCAGCACAGCAGTGGCGAGGGGGTCTGGGCGGAGGAGAGCTGTTCCCTTTATGGCAGATGGAAGTGGAGAGAGAAGGGAAGCACCAGGGAGGGAGAGCCCTTCCAGGCCACGCCCCCAGTGGCTGCCTCTTTTGACCTAATACCAGGTCAGCTCTGAGCCCCCGCAGTCCAATCACCATCCGCAAGCTCCCCATACGAACACGAGGCTCTTGGGGGACATCTAGACAGAAACGGTAATATCCAACATCCCTCCTCTGTCCTCATTTGTGACACCATACGCCATTTTCCTGTGACGGCCCCTTAGCCTCTTCTTGGTCTTGCTAGTTCCCAGACCGCCCAGCTGTTGAGCAGCCTGGCGATTCTAAGAAGCGTTTGCAGAATGTCACCCAGTCTGGGGCTGTCTGACGTTTTTCTCGTGGTGGGTCTGGGCATGTGGGTGTTGGGACAAGACCCCAAATGAGAGGTCTTCCTGTCCCACTGTGCTAGCAGTGTGACTGCTCCCTGTGGCTGTGGGCCTTGGTCACCTGGCTGATGGGTGATAAACTTACTTGGACACTGTATGTTAGTTGTGCTTCCATGTAGTATGTGTCATATGTGTTTCTTCAACTTTCAGATACCCTTTTACAGGTGAAAGCCATCTAAATTTAAAGCAGTAAATCCAGTTATTAATCTGAAAAAGAGCACAGATGGTAGTTTTCCCTGTGATGTGAAGACTTTGATGTGGAATGAGAGTGAGTGTTTCACTAGAAGATGTAACTACCAGCTGTTTAAGCCAAGTTTTCCTTCCCGACTCTGCCGCCCCCTGGCCCGCCTGCTTTTATTCCGGGGCTTCATTCCTGTAGTGTCACAGCAGTTGTTGACCTCAGTGTAGCAGGAGCCTCTCGAAGCTGCTCTCCCCTTTCCAGATTGCCCTGGCCATTTCGGGTCTTCGCATTTTCATGCAAATCTTGCAAGTACCCCGCTAATTTCTGTAAAGGTGCCTGCTGCAATTTTGATTGTGCTTTTGTGCACCTGGAGATGAAGTTGGGGGAAGTTACCAGTGTTGGGGGCTCTGATCTGTGAATGTGGCATTTTTTTGTAGTTGCTTCTCCTTCCCAGTTGTGTCGAGGCAACTAAAAGTGTTCCACGCAGTGAGAACTGTGCCTTGCGTGTGTGAGGTTCAGCATTGCTGCAGACGGTTCCTGAGGGCCAGGACAACAGGGATGCGCAGGAGAATGGGGCAGGTGTGGTGTTGGCAGGGGTGTGGAGGGGTGGGTCTTGCTTTGGTGTTTTAGGGTATCATGAAGGGCCTCCTGGGGAAGGCACCATTGGAGCTGTGCCCGTAGGAAGTAGGAGACCTGCCCAAGCATCCCGTGGGAAGCCAGGAGCCAGCGTGGCTGGCAGATTTGTGCCAGGGAGACAGAGTGAGAAGTGAGGTGAGCACCTTGGGAGACAGCTGCAGTCTTGCTTTTCATTTGGGTGGCAGAGAAAGCCTTTGGAGGTTCTACACCAAGGAACGACAGGTCCTGGCCTGGGAGGACAGTGGTGGGTTTACAAAGCCTGGTCCACAGCAGCCACTCAAAACCAGGATCCCTGCTGCCCTGATGGCAAAATTAACATAATGCATCTTCACTCATCTTGTGATGTCCAGCTCAGATCCTCAGCCATAGCAGGTGCTCAGTAAACGTGTAAGGGATGGAGAAAGGAAGGGAGGGAGGGAGGGAGCAGCCAGGGCCAAACCTCTCTCTGAATCCCCACGGTCACTGAACTTTCACTCTCACAAATGGTGGGGCAAGCTTGGCGGGTCCAGGCCAACAGCTCCTGTGACTATTTGATGGTACGATTATAGCCTCATGACTTCAGTCAAAGCAAAAACTGTGCAGGAGCTGTTGACTAGAGGGAAAACCACTGCAACCTGGATGGCAGCAGTGCCCACTGGTTGTCTTACCAGCTGTTGGCCACTGCCAAGTTCTGAGAAGACAAGTTCTCATCCCAGGTTTGCAGGCTGAGCGTGGCCGCAGTCATCCTCCGCTGACTCATTTGGATGCACCACCCCCAGCGGGACAGCACACAGCGCAGCCCACAGATGCGGACTCGGGACAGAGGGAGCGAGACCCCATCTGGGCTCCTCTTCACCCACTGCCACACAGGCTGGGTGGGTTCCCCAATTCAGAGCTGCCCTGCCAGGCGTGGTAGCACACGCCTGTAATCCCAGCGCTTGCGAGGCTGAGGTAGGAGGATCGCCTTGAGTTCGAGGCTAGCCTGGGATTCATAGTGAGTTCAAGGCCAGCCTGAACTATACACTGAGATCCTGTCTCAAAAAACAAAGCAAAAAACAACAAATTCAGACGTGTTGGATTTAAATTTTCAGGCCAACCCACTTGGCCTATGACATGGAGCAAGTCCCTTAAACAGTGACAGTCTGTTTCTCTCCTTGCCAACAAAAGGCTGCCCCACACTGGGCAGGAGGTGCACGTGCACTTCTGGAGCACAGCCCACCAAGGTGAGCCCACACCTGCCTCTCCAGACTGTCCTACCCTTGAAATGCTTGCTGCGGTCACTGTTGTGGCAGCTGACACCAGCCTCATCCTTTGTTCTTGCCGGCCTTGAATTTCTTTTGTCTGTGCGACGCACTTTATGTTTTAAAAAAACTGATGCATAGTAATTGTGCATACTTATGGGGAACAGTAGGATGTTTTGACATATGTATGCATTGTGTAATGATCATATCAGTGTAATTAGCATATCTGCTATCTCATTTGTTTATCATATCTTTGCGTTAGGAACATTTGAAACCTTTCTTCTAGCTCTTCTGAGACACACATTGTTGTCAACTACATCATCTCACTGTGCAGCACAGCACCAGAACTGCTTCCTCTATCGTCTTACAACTTCGTGGGCCAGGCTTCTCTACCCTGCTCCTCCCAGCCTCCAGAAACCACTGTTTTACTCTGTGCTCCTCTGAGATTAACTGATTCAGGTTCCACATACAAGTGAACCTGCATCTGGGTTGTTTCATTTAACATAATCTCTGCAGGTCCTCAAAAGTAGACATATAGCAGATCAACAGGTACATGAGGGGCTGGGGATTTAGCTCAGCAGCACAGCTCCTGCCTGGCTAGTGTGAGGTTGTGAGTTCGGTTCCCGGTACTGGAAAAAAACAAAACAAAACAAAAACCAGAAAAAAAAAAAAAAAAAAAAGAACAGGTACACGAGAAAATGCTTATTCAACAGCACTAGTTACCAGGGAAATGAAAATCAAAGCCACCATGTGCTATCATCCACTCCAGTTAGAATGGCTGTGGTCAAAAGACAAAAGATAACAAACGTCGGTGAGGACCCTGGTCCTGCTGTAAGTGACTACAGCCCTTATGGAAAAGATTATGGCGCTTCTTCAAGAAATTAAACACAGAACTACCACACAATCCAGCAGTCTCACTCCTGAGTATATATCCAAAGGAAATGAAGTCAGTATGTGAAGACATACTGCACTTGCATGTTTATAGAACTGTTCACAATAGCCAAGCTTTGGAATCAACCTAAATGTCCAATAATGCATGAACAAAGAAAGGAAATGTGGTATAGATACAGATGGAATACTATTCAGCCATAGAAGGATGAGATCCTACCTGAAGATGGGCATGCCTTTAATATCTATGAACATACCCTGTGCACAGAAGAGCTTGCTGTGGGTGAAAGAGACATGGACTCGGGGGTCATGCAGGCCTAAGGTGTGGCAGAAAGACACACACGTTCACACACAGTGGTGGTGCCTGGGGTGGTGGACCTGCTAGTGGTAGCTCAGTGGGAATGCCACAGGCCATTGTGAGGTTGCGAGGGAGGGCTTAAGGGGAATAGCATAAATATAGGTGGGGATGGAGGACATCCTTTGCCTAGCAGGTCCTCAGTAAACTCATACTGACTTTAACTGGCCCAGAGGCCAGAAAGAAAGGCATGCTGATGACATTCGTGTGACCAGGTGAGACTTCTCCCTCGAGGACTCCAGAGCGCTCTTTCTCACAGCTACTGACTACACAATGCACTGGAGCACTGGCTCTCAGTGGATGGAGACCAGCGAATGACAGTGTGCCTAAGCCCTGGGGCTCATAGGGGTTCTGTAGCAAGACAGGAAATGAATGAATCATTCAAGTGCCAAAGACTCCGTAGGGCCTCGCAGCTCACTCCTGGATCTCCAAAGGAGACACCTAGGGTATGCATGGAAAGGCAGTTCCTCCTGCTAAAGCAGGGGTTGGCAACATTTTTTTGTAAAGGGAGACATTAAATGCTTTAGAAGACATACAGTCTTTGTTACAACTGGATTATTCTGCCATTGTAGTGCAAAACCAGCCATTGGTGATATGGGATGAATGGGCATAGCTGTGTTTCAATAAAACTTTATTTTAAAAAAAGAAGCTCAGGGCCAGCGTTGGCCCCTACACAGTGGTTTGCTGGCCCATGTTAAAGTATGCCGGATTCACTACACTTTTCCTCCTCTGTGTGTTTTAATTCGCAATTTGTTTTACAGTCTGTCTAAGCCCAGTGGAACACTCTGTATTGTTCTGAATTTTCTGTGAAATGACTACCATAAGCCTGTCATGATGCAAGGCCAGTGTTTTTACCAAACCAAATCATGATGTTTTCAAATGGGCTGCAAAGTGGTTTGAATTACAGGCCTTAGGTAGCTGGAAAGTCCCAGTATTCCTCCCCACCATACCAATGAAACCTGGTGCATTAAGTTATTAAAAAGAAAAATACTGAACACAAGAACAAGTTGAAATCAAGAGAGGCCAAACCAAGCACACACATCTCCCCAGTCGACTGGGGTTTGTTTATCCCCAGGAAGGGTGCCTTCTGTCTTCACAGTCAGCCCTGGTGTGGGGCCTCATGTCACCTTGGATGTGTGTCTGTGTCACATGCATAGGAGCTCAGCAGTGATTTTTCTTCATTATATTTAAGAAATAAAAAGGTTCGGAGGCACAGTCACTGATGAACCGCATGCTCATTTTGTCTCCCTTTGTCATTTGGGGAAGCTGGGAAATTACTTCCACGTTTTGATTCTTCCTCTCTGGAGAGTGGCTTTTTGGGTTGCAGTGATTCATTCACTGGGGAAAAAAATAGTTTTTCTAAGAGCAACGGACAGTGAAAACCTGAGAGCTGGCTGCTCTGGCGATCCCAATTCCCCTTCAGCTAAGGAATTTCAGCACATTCCTGAGCCAGGCCGGCAGGGCGAATCTTAACTGTAACCCCTGGCGGCACCTGTCCCATCAGTCCTGTCTCGGGGCACGTGCTGGGCCAGGTTCTGAGAGGAAACTGGGACCCCTGAGATTGTCGCCTACTGCCACAACGCACACAAATGGCAGTGCTGGGCTTTATCTGCCTGGGACAGCCGTCCTCCTTGCTTGCCTTTCTGCAAGGGACTGGTGACTCATTCAGGGAAATGAAGGCAACGAAGGAAGGGATGGAGAAAGTCAGAGAATCTGTCATTAAGTAGGTTTACAATGACATTGTTTGGCCAGCAAAGAATTTCCAGAATAGAAATGGTCGAGATATCCGGGTTGAAGAACCATCTTTAGACGATACATTATTCTTGCAGCCTTTGACACCCGTGCTCTCATCACTGGTGATTCCTCCCAGGGGCTCCTTTATCAGGAGTTCGAGCTGCACGGTGTCATCCTGAGTCGACTGCAGAGCCCGATGGCTGACAGCGTGTGGCCAGGGTGTGGACAATGGATGCCGGGAGGAATCAGCAAGTGGGGCAGGAGATGAATGAGTCAGCGTGCAGCTGAGTCAGTGTGCGCCTTTGTTGGGAGCCGCCGTGCTCAGCTGCCACGGATGAACTGAAATGACCCCAAAATACAGCTCAGCCCTGCATTCCCCTCCTTGCAGCTGTGGCTGCAGGCACTCCTGTAGGGCAGGGAACCTTTACGCTAACTGAGCTCGAGGTTGCAGAGAGCCAAGCAGGAGCGCAGATTCATTTTGGCCACCTGGGCAGTGCAGTCTTGGGCTTAATGTCAGAGCTTCAGATTATGTTGAAGCAAGATGTGGGTGCCTCTCAGAGGCCACTGAGGGGGAAGCCTCGGAGACGTCTGGGCATGAACCAGAGGGAGGTTTGATCGTCGTCCACCCTCTGCCCTTGGCAGCGGGAAGTGGCACTCGCCAGGGCGCTGGAATGGTGACCTCATCCGTAAGCGGAAGTGCTTGAGACTCACTTTCCACAGTGGAGATGCAAAGCCATCAGGGTGCCTCATCCATGAATTGAATGCCTCCTCCATGGCACGGTGGGCAGAAGCTGGCGCCTTCACATAGAACGGGCGGGGACCCCGGGAACCACAAGCCACCAGTTCTGGGTTGGGGAGGCCTCCTTTCCTGGCTCTGCCCTCCCCTGGCCCATTTCCATCATTCTCTGAAATGGAGATGCCGGATCCACTGTCCCACTGCCGCCTGGCTGCACGGCCTGGAGCTCCCACCCTGCCACAGCTCCCACTGCGGGGCCCAGGGGCCCACAGCTGCAGGTGGCCCCACGGGGCATGCAGGCCAGCACCGTCAGCACGGGGATCTCTTCCTTCCTCTGCATAACTCTGCTGAGATGGATTCTGTTAGACTGCTTCACTTTTGAGAGGTATCTGTGAAGTTAGCTTCCCCTCTTATTTCTTCTGCTCACAGCTTCTGCTGGCAGCCAGAGGGGGTGTGGACCAGGAAAACCGAAACCCACTGGGATGCATCCACCCCAGTCCTAAGAATGTGCTGTTGGCTTTGGGATAGAGACAGATGGAGAGATTTCCCACCCAGAATAACACCCCTCCAGCTTGTGCCAGACAGGTGGCCCCCAAGGTTGTCCTGGGAGCTGGTGGTTCACCCCCCTTGAACCCTTGACCAGGCACCAAGTCTGAAGACAGCCTGGCCCTAGCCAAGAACATCGGACTGGGAAGAGAGGTCCCAAGGATGGAAGGCGCCTTCTCTGAAGAGAAGGGGCTG